CGATCAGCGCGCGCTGGAACTCGCCGCCGGACAGGGTGTGCAGCGACTCGCCGGCGAGCTGCGCGACGCCGACCTCCTCCAGCGCCTCGCGCACCGCGCGGGGGTCGTGCGCGCCGGTCAGGGTCATGAAGCGGCGCAGGGTCAGCGGCAGGGTGGAGTCGATCTCCAGGCGCTGCGGCACGTAGCCCAGGCGCAGGCCCGGCGCCCGCCAGACGCGCCCGCGATCGGGCCGCAGCACGCCCACCGCCGTGCGCACCAGGGTGGACTTGCCGGCGCCGTTCGGCCCGATCAGCGTGACGATCTCGCCGCGGCGCACCTGCAGGTCGACGTCGCGCAGCAGCCAGCGGGCGCGTCCGCGCGGCCCGCGCCGCAGGCCGAGGCCCTCCAGGCGCAGCAGCGGCGGCTCGGCGTCCGGCCGGCCCGGGGCGGGCGGCGCGGCGCGGCGGGGAGCGGGGGCGGCGGGCGACACGGGCAGGCGGTCTCGCGGGGCAGTGGCGCGGGCGATGGGCGGGCGGTGGGCACGCAGTGGGACGGGCCGTGCGGTGTGCAAGCCATGCCCGCTGACGGGGCCGAGGGCAAGAGCCGGCTTCGGGCCGGCTCGCGCGGGGATAAGGTCGCGCAGCAAACTCGGGCGCGGCCAAGCGGTCGCGAGGGCTTGGCCCTTCGGGAGGGGCGGAGGCGAACCGGTCTCTTGCCATTGATGTTATGTTATTACATAACATTAGGCCCGTCGACGGGCCAAGGCCTTTCGCGTCTCGGTCCGCGCCCGCCGCCTTCGCCGTTCCGCTCCGCAACCGAGGAACCTCGCCTCATGCCGCTGCGCGCCCTGCTTCGCCGTTTCCGCCCCTTGCCGTCGCTCTTGGCCCTGGTCCTGCTCGCCGGCGCGGCAGCGGCCCAAACGCCGGCGACCCAAACCCCGGCGACCCAAACCCCGCCGTCCGGGCAGGGCGCGGCCCCCGGCGGCGTCGTGGTCTCGATCAAGCCGCTGCATTCCCTGGTCGCGGCCGTGACCCAGGGGGTGCAGCAGCCCTACCTGATCATGCGTGGCGGCGGCTCGCCCCACGCCTACAGTCTCAAGCCCTCCGACGCGGCGGCACTGGAGGCGGCGGCGGCGGTCTTCTGGATTGGCCCCGACCTGGAGCTCTTCCTGGCCGGGCCGCTGGAAACCCTGGCGCCGGGCGCCCGGCGCGTGGCGCTGCAGGAGACCGCCGGGCTGCGCCGTCTGACCTTTCGCGAAGGCGGCCCCTTCGACGCTCACGGGCACGCCGAGGAGGACCACGCCGACGAGGGACATGACGAGCACGGGCACGACGAGCACGGGCACGACGAGCACGGGCACGACGAGGGGGGGCACGACGAGGGGGGTCACGACGAGGGGGGTCACGACGGTCAGGGGGCGGGCCCGGCCTACGACCCGCACTACTGGCTGGACCCGGTGAACGCGCAGGTCCTGGTCGGGGAGATCGCCCGCGTGCTGGCCGCGCTCGACCCGGCCCATGCCGAGACCTATGCCGCCAACGCCGCGGCGGCGCGCGCCGGGATCGATGCGCTGATTGCCGAGATGGCCGCGACCCTGGCGCCGGTCGCCGAGCGGCCCTTCCTGGTCTTCCACGACGCCTACCAGTACCTGGAGCGGCGCTTCGACCTGACCGTCGCCGGCTCGATCACCGTCAGCCCCGAGGTGCTGCCGGGCGCCCGCCGCATCGCGGAGATCCGCGCGAAGGTGCAGGCGCTGGGAGCCACCTGTGTGTTCGCCGAGCCGCAGTTCGAGCCGCGGCTGATCCGGGTGGTAGTGGAGGGGACGCCGGCGCGCGCCGGCGTGCTCGACCCGCTGGGCGCCGACCTGTCGGCCGGCCCCGGGCTCTATGCCGAGCTGATGCGCCGCAACGCCGCGGCCATCCGCGACTGCCTGGAGTGATTTCGCGCGCCCCTCTGAGGCGGAGCGGGTGTCGCGTGATCGGCGGACCCAGGGGTGCGGGTCGGACGATCACCAACCCGCGCTCGCGGCGCCTCCTTGACGGGCGCGCCGGGGCGCCGCCCGTCGGCCGGCCTCGGCTTTAACCCTGGCCGGCGCGCAGGCGGGTGCCGTCGGCCGCCTCGATCACCAGCTTGCCGTCGGCGTCGATCTCGTAGCGGCTGGCCCCGTCGAGGAGTTGCAGGAAGCGCCGCTCCTGACGCATCAGCGGGCCCGGGCAGGCCTTGCGGGTGGCAGCGATGGCGTCGAGGCTCAGGCTCTGGCCGTCGGTCTCGAAGCCGCTGCGGTAGCTGTTGCAGGAGGCGAAGCCGCCGAGCGAGCCGTCGTCGCGGAACTCCAGGGTGACGCGCGAGCGCTCCAGCAGCGGCTCGCCGGCGATCTCCTCGACCTGCCATTCGGGGCCGATCAGGCTCGGCGCCGGGCCGCTCGCCGGGGCCTCTTGCTCCCCGGCCGGGTCGCCCTCTTCGCCGGCGCTGTCGCCTGCGTCGGCCGCCGCGCCGGCGACCTGGCGGCAGGTCGGCAGGCTGCGCCAGCCGATGCTGAAGGTGGCCTCCTCGCCCTTGTTCCAGAACACCACCGGCGCGGTGCTGGTGCCGCCGCTGTACTTGGCGCCGGAGGCGGCCAGGCTCGGCGAGAGGCGGTAGACCCGCTCGCTGACGCTGACCAGCAGGTCGCGGTCGATCGGCCGCGTCTCCAGCTCCAGCCCGCCGCAGTCGTAGGTCGTCGCCGGCCCCAGGCCGCGCGGCTGCTCCGGACCGCTGCTGCCGCAGCCGGCCAGCAGCGCCGCCGCCGTCAAAGCTGCGAATGAGACAACCGCCTTGCGCATGTTCGACATCCCTCTCACGGGCCTTCGTTTCGAGGTGGGAGATTCGCCGGCCGGACCGGCCGCGGCGCGGCGGCGGCGCCGCCCCTGGTGCCCCTGGAGGGACTCGAACCCCCACTCCTTTCGGAACGCGATTTTGAGCCTGACGATACGCGCCTTTCAGGGCCTCGTCGAGGCTAATCAGGGCGTACAACCCCTTGAAAACGCGACACGATCTCCTCATGCGCACCTGACGGACACTGTTTCGCGTCGGGCCGCGTCCGGGCCTCGGGCCCCGGGGCAACGAGAGGAGATTATCATGGCGACGAAGCTGACGCAGGCCCTGGTGAACAGGGCGATGGAGGACCACGAGCCCGGCACCCAGGTCTACGACGCGGAGGTGAGCGGCCTCCGGCTGGTGGTGGGGAAGAGGAGCTGCTCGTTCAAGCTGGTGGGCAGGATCAACGACGGCACCGACCGGTACGTGTCGGTCGTGATCGGCAGGACCGACGAGGTCGGCCTGAGGAAGGCCAGGGAGGACGCGGCGGCGCTGCGCCTGGCGCTGAGGCGCGGCGAGGACCCGAGGACGCCGAAGAAGTCCGTGCCGACCCTGAACGAGGCTTGGGAGCGCTACCGCGACGCGCGGAGCGGCGACCTGAGGCCGAGGACCGTCGAGTGGTACCAGAGCCGGATCGACGGCCCGTTGGCGAAGCTGAGGAAGCTGCCGATGGACAGGATCGACCGCGAGACGGTGCGGGCGCTGCACGAGAGGCTGACGCGCGAGCGCGGCCCCTACTGCGCCAACGGGACGATGCGGGCGCTGAAGGCGATCTACAACGACGTCTGCCGGACCCACGACCTGCCGCCCAACCCGGTGTCGAGGGCGGTGCGGCTGAACCGGGAGCGCCAGCGCGACTGGGCGGTGGGGCCCGACGAGATGCCGGAGCTGTGGCGCCGGCTCGACGCGCTGGAGGACAGGACGCGGGCGGCCTGCTGGCTGACGATGCTGCTGACGGGCCTGCGCTGCGGCGACGCCCGCTCGATCAAGTGGGAGCACATCGACGCCGACGGCGTGCTGTTCGTGCCCTCGCCGAAGGGCGGTCCGGACCGGTCCTTCCGGACGCCGCTGCCGAGGCTGCTGACGCAGGAGCTGGAGCGGGTGCGGCAGGAGACGGCGCCGCTGGAGAGCCCGTTCGTGTTCCCGAGCCCGAGCTCGAAGACGGGGCACATCGAGCAGATGCGGCGGACGCAGGAGTTCCCCTACGCGCCGCACCAGATGAGGCACACCTACCGCACCCACGCCCTCGAGGCCGGCGTCGACTTCCAGTCGGTGACCATGCTGATGAACCACGCCGCCACCCACGTGTCGTTCGGCTACGTGACGCGGGCGCACCTCGTCGGCCACCTGCGCGAGCAGCAGGAGCGCATCTGCGAGCGGCTCGCCGCGTACCGGTAGGCCCCGGTGAGAAGTAATGGGTTACGGGGGACTTGACGGCCGGCATCCTGGTGCAAGCGCAATGCACCGAGGAGCCGAACATGCAGACCGAGATACTTGAGCGGCTGGAGGCGATCGAGGCGAAGATCGGCCGGCCCGACCGCGAGTACCTGAACGCCGAGGAGGCCGCCGGCTTCCTCGGCCTGTCCAAGCAGCAGCTCGACATTCACCGGATGAAGGGCGGCGGCCCGGCCTTCCACAAGGTCGGGCGGCGCGTCCTCTACGCCGTGTCGGACCTGCGCGACTGGATGGCGTCGCACCGCCGGGAGCCGCTGTCGTGATCGTGCAGGAGCTGGAGCTGCCCGAGCTGCCGCCGCCGGGGCACGTGAACGACTGGCCGCCCGAGGCCGGCCTCGCCTTCCAGACGCTGCTGGACTGCGCCTTCCTGATCGCAGGGCGGGACGAGCACCCGATCCGGGTTCTGCACAGGGCGTTCGACGTGCTCGACCTGCCGGCGGACGCCCGGTGGCTGGTCGACGTCGCCCTGTCGGGCGTCTGGGGCCTGTTCTGGTGCCGGTCGATGCAGCGCTACGTCGACGCCGAGACCTTCGTGCGCGAGGGGCTGCCGTCGGATTACCTGGGCCTCGAAGTCGAGCTCGCCCAAGCCCGGACCCTGACGGGGACCGAAGCCGACCACTGAGCCAACAGCGTTGCCCGCGGACGCTGGTTTCAGCGGGAGAGCCGCGCACTGCAGCATGCAGATAGAGACCGGGCCCGCCGCTTCGGTGGCGGCGGGCCCGGGAGGAGGACCGGCCGGCGGCTGCGGAGGACGACTGCGCCGCCTGGCCGTGGTGACAACAAGCCGAGGAGCCCGATGTCATGGAAGAAGATAGCGCGACCGGAGGGCCGGCGACGCCCTCGTTCGAGGACCTGGAGCGCGACTGGCTGACGAACGCCGAGGCCGCGCGGCTCATGGGACTCACCCCCGACACGCTGCGCGACTACCGCGCCAAGGGCCGGAGCCCGCGCTACCACAAGCGCGGCCACGCCGTGTTCTACCGCCGCTCGGACGTCGAGGCGCACATGCGCGCCGGGAGGCGGTCCGATGGCTGAGGCGCGCACCGACCCGGAACAGCTCCGGCCCTACCTCGACGCCGGATGGCAGCTCATCCCGCTCCACCGCTGGGACCGCAGGGACGGCAGGGGGCGAGAGCGCGGCAAGACCCCGCTGCACGACAACTGGACGCGCCGGCCGTACAAGTCGGACGACCAGGCCGCGCACATGGAGGATGGCGGCAACGTCGGCGTCAGGCTGACGGCCGCCCAGCTCGTGATCGACGTCGACCCGAGGAACGGCGGCGAGGGCGGCCTGAGCCGGCTGCTCGGCGACCTCGGCCTGGACCAGAGCGCCTGGCCGCGCGTCGAGACCGGCTCGGGCGGCTCCCACCTCTACCTGACCAAGCCGGAGGACGTCCCGGTCGTCGACCGCCTGGAGACGTACCCCGGCGTCGAGTTCAAGACGCTGGGGCGGCAGGTGGTCGCCGCCGGGTCGGTGCACCCGACGACGGGGCGCCCCTACCGGTGGGACCCGCTGTCGCCGCCCCTGCCCGAAGCGCCGGCCGCGCCCGGCGCGCTGCTCGACCTGATCGCGAGGCCCAAATCGGAGGCGACGCCGAGCGGCGGCGGCGAGCACACCGCCGAGGAGGTCGGGGCGATGCTGTCCGTCCTCGACCCGACCGACTTCCGCGACCACGACAAGTGGCTGACCGTCATGCAGGCGTGCCACCACGCCTCGGGCGGATCGGCCAGGACCGAGTTCGTCGCCTGGTCGGCGGGCGACCCCGACTACGCCGACAGGTCCGAGGAGGTCGGCAGGCGGTGGGACAGCCTGCACGCCGACGCCGACGGGCCCAGGGTGACGCACCGCACGCTGCACCGGCTGCTGATCGAGGCGGGGCGCGAGGACGCGATCCCGAGGACGCCGGCCGCCGACGACTTCGACGACGAGGCCGGGTCGCGCGAGATCGCCTTCCTGCCCGAGCCGAAGCCCGTCGCCATGCGCGGCCTGTCGGTGAGCAAGTCGGGCACCGCGCCCGACACCATCGCGAACGCCATCTCCGCCGTCGCCAGGTCGGGCGTCGGCCTCGCCTTCGACGAGCTGAAGCAGCGCGCCGTCTTCACCGCCCAGGACCTGCCCTGGGACGAGGCGTACGGGCGCACGCTCGACGACAACACGGCCAGGCTGCTGCGCCACTACCTGATCGAGCGACACCAGGGCAACGACTTCCAGCCGTCCCGGGAGAACGTCTGGGAGGCGGCCATGACGGTCGCCTACGAGCACAAGTTCAACCCGGTGCTCGACTACTTGGACGGGCTGGAGTGGGACGGCACGCCCAGGGTCGGTCGGCTGTTCCCGGACTACTTCGACACAGACGACGACGAGTACGCCAGGGCCGTGTCCGCCTGCTTCATGGTGGCGGCCGTCCGGCGGCAGCGGGAGCCCGGCTGCAAGTTCGACACCATGCCGGTGCTCAGGAGCCGGGCGCAGGGCAAGGGCAAGTCGACGGGCGTCCAGGCGCTGTTCGGCGCCGACTGGTCGTCCGACGCCGACCTGGGCAACCTCGGCAACAAGGACGCCGCCATGCTGCTCCAGGGCATCTGGGCACAGGAGTTCGCGGAGCTCGACGGCCTGAGGCGCGCCGACGTCACCACGCTCAAGGCGTTCTGCTCCAGGGCGGTGGACAGGGTCAGGCCGCCCTACGGCAAGGGCGTGATGGACATGCCCCGCCGCTGCGTGTTCGTCGGCACGGTCAACGAGGGCGGCTACCTGAAGGACGGCACCGGCAACCGCCGCTTCTGGCCGCTGACCGTCAGGGGCGAGGTCGACGTCGAGGCGATCCGGCGGGACCGGGACCAGCTCTGGGCCGAGGCGGCGCGGATGGAGGCGGACGGCGCGAGCGTCGTGCTGCCGAAGCACCTGTGGGCGATGGCCGCCGAACACCAGGCCGACCAGACCTCGGAGGACCCGTGGGCCGACCCGATCCTCGACTTCCTGGAGCGGCGGGCGAACGACGCCTTCGACGCCGAGCTCGGCATCGGGGACTGGGCGGACGGCGGCGACCTGGCGGGCGTCAAGGCGCCGCCCGAGGACAGGGTGCACACCGCCGAGCTGTTCGACGTCCTCGGCATCGACGTGCCCAGGCGCAGCAAGGACGCCAGCCAGAAGCTGCGCTCGATCATGGAGGGCCCGGCGGTCGGCTGGGAGTACAGCCGCGGCGTCCGGGTGGGCGACAGGGCGGCGGCCGGCTACCGGAAGCCGGGGCGCTGAGGCGCGCTGCGGCTCGCAGTGAGGCGGGGCCGGCGGCGTTGAGCGTTGAGCGTGGCGGCGGCCTCGCTCAACGCGCCGGGGCCTTGGTTTCCTTGGCCTGTTGAGCGTGTTGAGCATGTTGAGCTTGTTATCGAAAGCCGAGGCGGCGGTCGTCAGGGGGACGGGAGCGGCGTTCGGCCCGGAAAGTTTAAGAACGAGCTCATCGCGCTCAACAAGCTCAACGCCGTGCCGGAGGGCCCCGCCTGGACCGAGGGGAGACCGGGCGGAACCGGACAACGCTGGCTCCCCGGGAGGCCGGCAGGCGTCATTCTCGGTCTCGGAAGCGGCCGGCCGGCTCGCGCGCGCGAGGCGCCGCCGGACGCAATGGACCACGGGTCACGCGCCCCGAAATGGGGCCGGAAAGCCCTTCCGGTTCAGCCCCTTACGAGGGGCGCCGGTCGCGGCCCGTCGCGGGGCCCGGTGGAGACGGAGGATCGGCGATGCTGCCCGCCAGGGCGAAGGAGGACTTCCTCAGCGAGATTGTGGAGCACGGCAACGTGTCGCGCGCGTGCGCGCGCCTCGACCTGAACCGGAGCACGGTCTACGCATGGCGGGAGGACCCGGACTTCAACAGGGCCTGGAACGTCGCCTTCGAGCTGAGGCGCGACGCCATGCGCGACGAGGTCGTCGAGAAGGCCCTCGCCGCGACCGGCTACGTGGCCGAGGCCGTGGCCGTCGACCCCCGCACCGGCGACCCCGTGCTCGACGACGACTTCGAGCCGGTCACCTACCGCCGGCTGGTCGACTACGATCCGAAGGTGCTGACCGCCCTCCTGGGCAAGCTGGTGAAGGACGAGGCGCTGCGCGTCGACCAGCGCACCCTCCTGGTCGACGACCGCGGCGGCGAGGAGGAGGCGCCGCCGACCCTGACCCTGGTTCACGACGACGGCGACTTCGAGGAGGCCGACGATGAAGGATGAGCGGCGGCGTTGCCCGAACTGCGGCGCGCCCCTGGCCCTCAAGGGCCTGGAGGTCCACTTCGTGCGCCCCGACGGCTGCCGGCTGTGGGCGCACGACCGGAACGTCCGCACCCGCGACGCGGTGGGCAGCGGCGAAGGCTCGCTGGACGACGAGTTCGCCCGCGGCATCAGGACGCCCTGGACGTCGGCGGAGCACAAGCGGGCCGCCCTGGCGCACCTCGACGGCGAGCTGCTGGCCTTCGCCAAGTCGCTGCCGTACGTGAGGGTCGAGGGAGAGAACACCTAGAACGAGCCAACCGTCAAGCCGGCCAGGGTCCCGAACAGAACGCCGAGGAACGACCCAGCGGCCGTCACCTTCATGCGGTCCCAGAAGTCGCGGCTCGCCAGTTCGGCCTTGGCGAGCGCCTTGTCGTGCATCGTGGCGCCCTCGAACTCGACGGTGACGTACAGTTCCTTTCGGCTGCGGTCCTTGTGCTCCTTCTTCCTGATCTTGTCGTAATTGCTGGCTGGGTCTTCGGCTGCCATCCTCTTCCCTCCCTTGATCCACATTTCACGGCTGCACCGCGCTCGGACACGACGACGGGACGCACCTGATCGGGTATCCCTCGATCGGCCCAAAATCGGGTTAGGTTTCCATGGAGTTGGACCGCCGGCAATCGAACGGACCCGGCGACGGGCCCGGCGCCCTCAGGACCGGCGGTGTCGCAGGCCGCCGCGAGCGTCGAGCCTGAGCCTGAGCGGGTGCCGCTCCTCGGGGTTGGCGATGGCGCCGCAGATCACGCACTCGGCGGGTCGGTCCTTGCCGCTCGGCATCAGCATTGCGCCGAGCCGTGCGGCGAGGGACCGCCGCGCCCGGACGTGAAGGGTCTCCCGCTCGCAGGTGTCGCAGCGGCGCATCGAGAGGTCGTAGGCCATCGGCACTTCTCCTTTGTCTGACCTCTCGATCATATCCTATTTTGGGATAATCCTTAAATGGGATTACTGGGGTGGCCGGTACTTCCAGCCGGTGGCCCATGACCAAGACGATCTACTCGCGCCGACATGAGCGCCTCCTCGATCTGCTTCGGGAGGAACGGCGCGCCGCGGGCCTGACCCAGCAGCAGGTCGCGACCCGGCTGGGCAAGCCCCAGTCCTACGTCGCCAAGTACGAGGGCGGCGAGCGGCGGCTGGACGTGGTCGAGTTCTTCGCCGTGATGGAGGCCCTCGGCGCCGACCCGGCCGGAGTGATCGCCCGGCTCGCAGAGGAGTAGAGCCCGCATAGACGGACAGACCAAAGACTAATAGGAGGGTGCGATATGCCTGTTCCGTTTGATCTTCGGCACATTGACGAGCTTATTGCGGCCAGAAAGGCACTAGTTAATCAGCCACATGGTCGCCCTCCCATTGAGAACGGAGAGACGTTGGGGTTAGCTGTCCAACGAGCCTCTATCGTAATGATGAGCGCGGTGATTCAGTCATTCGTTGAGGACGTCTTTCTTGAAGCGTCCCGACAGGTTTTAACGCCACTTGGAAGAATTGGCGACATTTCGAAATACCAGAAATCCTATAGTAGAAACGGCAACCCGAACCCGAACAACATCACCCGATTGTTTTTGCGGCTTGGGATAGAGGACGTTTTGAGTGGTCTGCGTTGGCAGAAGTGCAACAACGAAACAGTTTGTCGGAAACTGAATCATCTCAATCAACTTCGGAACGATATCGCCCACGGCAAAACAGAATTGCGGGTAGACGGTCGAGTGGTCCAATTGCGTCAGACGATGGTGACTGATTATCGCAACTTTGCCGAACAGTTCGGCAATAGGTTTGAGGCCCATGTAATGGGCAAACTTTGAGTAGATTCACTCGAATAGCAATACCGTCTCGCCTTGGCGAACGGCGCACCTGACGGGAAGTCCCTCCACCCGTCCCCGATTCCCCTTCCCGACCATGCGCGTGTCCGTGACGCCCGCCGCACGGGCCCGGCGGCGGGCCCGTCGCGCCGTCGTTTCGCGCCCCGGGGCACAACGCTGGCACCCCGGGCGCGGGCGCGCGCGGTATCGGTAGAAGCAGATCACGACGACGCACGGAGGACGAACGACATGCTCGACGCACTGACCAGGCGGCGCGCCGACGCCGAGAGGCGCTACGAGGAGGCGGAGGACGGCATCCCTGCCGCCCTGCTCGACGGCGACGAGGAGCGCGCCCGCGAGCTGCGCCGCGCCCGCCGGGACGCGGCCGAGGAGGCCGACGACCTGGCCGAGGCCCTGACCCTGGCCGAACGGAAGGAGCAGGAGCGCCGCGAGGCCGAGCGGGCCGGGCGGCTGCGCGAGGCCCGCGCCGAGGCGCGCGAGGCGTCGGACAGGTTCCGGGAGACGAGCGGGGCGGTCGACGCCGCCCTGGCCGGGCTGGAGCGCGCCGTGGTCGACCAGCGCGCCGCGGCCCGCGACTTGGTGCGCGCCCT